TACTTGGTTTTCTTTGATAAAACAGCCCTGAGGCTTTGAATACTCACTAAAAGAGGGTGTGGCTAACAAATTGTGTTTGACATGGCGAGGACAAGCCGAACAGCTCACAAACACACACTATTTTCAGTTGAAATAGCATATGAACAAAGTAGTGTGCTGGCAGTGTCATTCATAGAAAATTAGCCAGCCTTACACTGAGATGGGCTTGTGTAGTTTATGTGAATCCATCGGGTGGTTATGAATGGCATGGAAATTCATTAAATATGCAGAGATGCAGTTGATGTATGCGTGTGGCTCACATTGCTGTTGGTCGTAACCAACGTGAGAGGATGATGGCTTGACGAGAAGGCGAATCGCCATGCCAACCACACTTACGGGCTAAACAGATGAGTCTCTGACAAGGCTGGCAGACCATCAAGGTTGTAAAACGATTTTGTTATCCCCGGTTGATGTTACGATATGAGAATGGGCTTGAAATGAGGTGCTAATGATAGTCTTAAGGTGATCCCAGAGCAATGGGAAACTGACATGGTTTATACCGAATAGGCTCACTCATGGGCCCTTGCCGATGAAGGTAACAAACAAGTCGGAATTCCCAGAAGTACGACCTTCTGAAAGGTCAGAGAGCACAAGGTAATCCCTCAAGAGAGTGAGGAGCTCGCACCATTTCGGAGAAACTCTCACTAATGGCTCTTCGTCCTTGCGGGGGAGAAGGTATGAGCTCGAAAGCTTATCACCCTATCAAGATTTTCCAAAAGCGAAACCCCTATCGAGAGACTCGGGTAACCAACAGCACTCCCATCAAAAGCTTTCAATCGTTGTTACAATGCTCCTTCTGACTTTCAGGGCATGGCACATCCTATCAGTGCAGTTTTTGATGTCCAGAAACCTTACTAAAAGTCGAAGGTAAAGATGAGGAGTCAGCGATAGGAAGAAGGATGAAAAAATGAATGATAGAGGAAAGGAACGCTGAACGAGTTGGTATCAAGGAAGATTTCATTTATATGTACATAAATTAGCATACCAGTTATGTAGCGTTAACCCCGTTCCGAAAGCTCTCCCCACCTTTGTCTTCCAGGAAAGGTAATTGAGAAACTAGAACATTCCCATCTCTGGGAAATCCAATTGTGATTCATCTTTTCCTTTCTGAGAATCGAATAGGAGAAATTCTCTTTTGGGAAAAGTGATTGGGTGTTGAAGGGAACGTATCTCCTCTGAGTTTTTGTGGCTGGAGAAAGTCCAGAGAGATTAGCAGCTTTCAACAGAATTACTTCTATCAAGCGTCGTCGTTGTCTAACAAGCTATTTGTTGAATCGATTCCCGTGTGTTCCCCTTGTGTAGACACACAGCGGACTTTGTCGATTCCCCCCTCCTGGGACTCGTTGAATTGGCATTAGAATTGTCTTTGCCCAATAAAAATCGCCCGACTCAAGTAACTTCATGAATGCCCCCCTTCCACATCATATTAATTCAGCACGAGGCTCAATACGCTTCGAGTTAGCCTCGAGAATCTTTGTGAGAAGTACATGGGTACTTTCTGGGAGATAATGATCCTCTATAGTGACAGCTCTAGCCTTCGGCTTGTCCGGAAGCTTACACTCTGATAATCTCATTTTCGACTATTTCATTAGTCATTTGGACAAAGATATTAAGATTAGATAAGATACTGTGCGAATGTTTCAAATAACATCGTCATGACATACATTACTTGAGTTGAGTGGGATCAATAAAAGTTCCAGTGAGAGTGAATCATATCGAGAAAGTTTCAGGGCCTACTATCTTCCATTGGTGATGAATACTCGTTAGAAGCCCAGTAGGACGATTACAGAGGCAGTAGATGGAATTGTATGTAAAAAAAAGGGGTTGTGTCAGATAAAACCACACCCAGAAATGACAAAGAGTTCTGTGGGCGGAGCCAAAACTCGTTCTGTAGAAAACGTGTTTGAACACGTGCAAGTTGTGACACGAGACCTTTCGTTTTGCACATTAATCAGCCTGATAAACGCTATATCGAGTTAGTGCAACGTGTCTTTGAAGCGAAAACGGAAGTATAAACGCTTTCCGTGCCAAAAAATAAAATTTCCACTTTTTTAATTGTTTTTTGTTTATGTGGAACACAAAGAAGTCGATACAACACATTCCGCCGGGGTGAAGTTGTGCTCGCCGTTTTGACGAACGAACGATGCTTTCAACGACCTAACAACCTTGCTGGAATCGTCATCTGGATGGCGAGCCAATTTGGCGAGTCCGTAGTGATCCAGGCGATGCNAGCCTGATAAACGCTATATCGAGTTAGTGCAACGTGTCTTTGAAGCGAAAACGGAAGTATAAACGCATTCCGTGCCAAAAAGTAAAATTTCCACTTTTTTAATTGTTTTTTGTTTTTGTGGAACACAAAGAAGTCGATACAACACATTCCGCCAGGGTGAAGTTGTGCTCGTCGTTCTGACGAACGAACGATGCTTTCAACGACCTAACAACCTTGCTGGAATCGTCATCTGGATGGCGAGCCAATTTGGCGAGTCCGTAGTGATCCAGGCGATGCCCCATAAGTTTCGTTGGAATCCACAAAAGACTTGTATGTGGTAGGTTCGATACGGAAAGCTACTTGATTGAGACTTTGCCCTGGTTCTGTAGGAGTCTCTTCAAAGTACTTCAAACTGAAGAGGATGTCTGTTTTATTAGATTTTCTAGCTAGAGTTTTCACAGTGGACTTTGAAGAATCTGGGATTCCCCACAAGGGGAAGCTACCTAACCCAAAATCTGTTCCTCCTTTTCATCCACCGGCTATCCTCATAGTCACATCTCTTCTGCTACCACTGCCGGACTCTGGTTCGGGGATGATTGACTTTACCTGATTGAAAACAACTCATATAATAGGTCAGGTCAGGCCCCAAACTCTAGGCTGGGTTCAGGTCCATCATTTTCTTTCCAGATGCCCGTCATGCCATTACGTAAATCGTTCCTGGCTGAAAAGCCATCTTTAGTGGCAGTTTTCCGCAGAATGGGTAGTTTGGTTAAACGATTATTGCATAAAATTCCCACGAACGGCCGTTAATCCTGGCCTCGGCTATTCTGAAGAAGCCTCTTTCAAGTTTTCGTCCCTGGGAATCCCTTGAAAGCCTTCTTGCTGCAACCGGATGCACTTAGGACCGAGCTAACGACCATAAACATACTGGACTATCAGTTTCAGTGAAATTGTGACTTGTCAAAGGAGCACTGAGCTAAAAGGGCATTGAAGTTGGTGTGCTTGAAGGAGGATATTTCTAATTTGACGAAATTTGTGCCTTGACGTGAGCAAATTGGCCAAAGTGAAGGCAATGCTGATGAAAATCCGTCAAGGAAGGACGACAAGAGGGAGGATGCCTGATTCGTGAATACGGTGTCTTCTTCATAGCATGAGGACCTTTTTCGCGCTCTCAGAAACGAGTGCAATGACACTCCTGGAGGATCTAACCGTTCAGAGGAATCTTCTTGACCTAGGATACTGTAGGATGCTTCACAAAATATATTCTTGGCTTTAAAAAGGAATTCTGCAACAGGCTGCCTTCTAGGCTTGGACTCGCACGGCTTAAAGACGACGTCGTCTCTATACAGGCCATCTTGGCGGCGACGGTGAATTTGTCTTGCCATCCTTGGCTAACCTACCAGAGCATAAGCTCCGGTGTAAGTTTTCCCAAGGAAACACAAAAAAAAAGTGACACGTTCCCAGAGCATGTGGGCGTTCTCCCACGTTCTTGGTAAATTTGATCACTTCTTCTATGGCCATCCATTAGCAACGTTTCAACGGAATATTTTTGATTTAATTAAGGCCTCTCAAAGGATGCCCTTGGTAAAAGCTTAAAACGTTGATGTCATATGGGAAACGGCAACAAACATGGAAATATTCGGTTTCAAGGATTGAAAAATCGCTTGGGGATCCCCGAGTTGAATTTTATGGTATTTAGCAGCTACAGCTTAGTCTGCCCACTGCTGTCAGAAGAGCCGGAAGTTCGGGATTTGGTTTATCATTGATTTTTACAAGCCATTATCATTAGTTAAATTGGCGAGGAAATTCCAAATAATAGCCGAAAAAACAACAAAAATGTAAAATTAATCTCTAAAAAATCTTTAAATTAATCTTTGTCTCATGCAAGAACAATTTTTGCTCCAATTTTCACCGAAATACAAAGAAAAATTTAAAAAAGTGCGAAAGAAAAATCGAAAAAAAAGAAATTCTAAGAAAAATCAGAGTGAATTCCATGATGTCAGTGACTAATTCACCAGTTATTATGCCGATTCTGATGATTCCTGGTGATTTTACTATGTACTTAGAGATATGTAGCTCGACTTTTGAAATAGGTGGGTCTGAAAATGTTGTACGGACCTAATGACCCACCGGGTTCGCTGAGAAATGCAGAAGGAACCATAAATAGAGAAATTTTCTGAGTGAAAAATGGAGAAATAGATTCAGTGGTTCAGAATGCATAGCTATTTCTCTTTGCAGCTTTGTTTTCCTTAATTCCCCCCTCAGGTGAATACCTCATCAATCAAGAGCATTTGCCTCCCTGTCTAACTGAGACATTTGTCATGGGTTTTATCCCAAGGTGAAAGAACCTCCCAGTTGTTTCAACGTTACAACGCAAACCACTCTTAAATTGAGAGCCTCCAGACCTTTTTCTCTTTCGAACGAATTTCCTCGGATGCAAACGCTCAAAAGTAACAATCGCCCTGATTAAGTTTTACACTAATTAGGGAGTAACAAATGGGGTAACATGGGTGAATAGATTGTTGGTTTTTGGGAATCGTTAAGGCACCCCTTTGAGGCGTTGCTGAGCGACTGCTTGGGGACGTCACAAGAAACCCCACGTAGGCCACAGTCATATAAGGATGGCAGAGCTCCAAGAAATCGTTATTTTCTCTACGAAAGCCTGAATATGGACTGGACAGCTTGGCCGGCTTTGAGCGCTTCTTTATGTGGTGGTAATTACTAAGTACACAAAGCAGTAATCATCACATACCCATCATATCGATTCGGTTTCCCAAAGCCAACGACATTGTTACGAGTCCCAAAGCAAGTAGTGTCATCAGTACGGCCACAAGTGCTACAACACGTTTTACACGACGTTGATTATGTTCCTGAAAGAATAGTTGGTCATTTGGAGGATTTCTGATAACATGGGATGTCCCATGATGGATTGGGAAGCTCCCGAATGCGTTTTTTTTTTTACAAGAAACCACCTTTTTTTCAAGAGCAAATTCTTTTCGAGTGCTATAAAGGGGGACCCAACGTGCCCATAGTGTTCAACCTTTCTTTGGGAGTACCCGGACCATCCTATTGTTCTTGCCCTAAAACCTTAGCCCCTTTTAAAGCATTCCTTGTCCCTTCTTCACCCGAAAGCCGTCGAAAATCGACGAGTCTAGAATATGCTAGTAGCAGTACGCTGCAGATGTCTATTGAGGCGTGAAATTCGGTGATATGTGAGGTGAATAGACAGAGACAGGAAGATTCCTTTAGCCAGGAAACCTCCCAATCTGGCCAAACTCTCCTACTTGCAGCCTCCAAAAGGATCTGATTAGTGAAGCACTTTTCGAGGGTTTTTCAGTACAGGGCTTAGCTAAAATCTCAGCTACCAGGAGAAACTCTTCAATCATCAAGCGCACTTTAAACCAGGTCCTCAAGTGGATATCATTCACTCTGACGGAGGTTCGAGAGATTCGAATTTGATTCGGGAAACTCCAAATGTTGGGACTTTTTTGATACTCTGAGATATGGGATACGGTAGCCGAAAAATCATTTCAGGAAACCTATTTTTGACTCACAGACAGTTTATAAAGTGCAACTTTTTACCTCTTTATACGTAATAAAAGATTCTGGGAAAAGGTCTTCTACCCAACCCGTTTTAGTCATCTTGGCAAGCCTCATCATCTGATTACAACCGTGCCCTTAGCCCCCTGTCAGTCATTGGCAATCCCAATTGTTTATGACAGGTCGTAGAAGCGTAGAACTATTTGCTCGGGACACTGAAGGTGTACTTAGGGTAACCGCAAAGCCATTAATCATTTGGGAACAACGATCGCGAAACGTTGGGATATCCGGGAAGGAGAGATCGGCTCAAATGGGGCTTGGAAACGACAATCTGGCAGCTGACCACAAATCATTACTTTGTCCCACAAATGAGCTGCAGCAGTACTACTATACTGTTAGGCCCTTTGCCCTCCCGAAGCTCCCCCACACCCCTTCCCCCCCGGAGGCTCAAATTCGGTTTACTGTTAACCAAAATTTTGTCTTATAGCTGTCGAAATAGGTGACGTGACTAAAAGAGTTCCCACACGGATCCACGAAAATTCTCTCGAGGCTCGAATTTCCCTGACACAAAAAAGAGCTTCGAAGCCTGGGAAAACATTTTTAAGGGTGCCATTCGAGGACTCGTTGCAATTAGGCCTTTTATGGTCCCAAATGATGATTGGGGAAAATGGAACATCGTCCCGAATACGACCACCTGAATCAGAATAACATCAGATGGACCATGATCTTCGCCATGACGAAGAACCGCATGGGCAAGAGCTAATGGCTGCTCAGGTGACCATTCCATTCCATCAAAGACCAAGGGGAAGCTCAAAACAAGGCAAAAGCAAAGTTTCCTAGGAAACGTAGAAGCCATTGCTGAGCAGGATAACCAAATCACCTCCACAGAGATTGGCGATCCGATAAAAACATTGGCTGCACTGAGCCCATAAAGCCCCCATAAGTCCCCATAAGCTCAGAGTCATATGTGCTTTTGAGGGTTTTTTCTGCTAAACCACGCTGTCCGGGAATCGTCATGCCATTCATCCATGTAACAGCTCATTCAGCTCCACTACTTCAGTATCTTTCAATCCCATCGTCATCAAAAATGATGAGCCAGTCAGGGAAGAGCTGTAGGAAAGTCACAGTCGAGTGATTTTTATGACCAAAATCATTCAACAACCATCAAAAGCTTGTCACACAGCTCATCAAACATGCAACCAACTGCAACCCTTGGGGGGTTGTTATTGTTGGTGCCGTTGTTGTTGTTGTCGTCGTCGTATAACTTTAGTAATACTTATAATAGCCTCATTTTCGTTCTCATTCTCTCCCTGGGTGAACGGGCGGAACTAACTGGCTTACCTTGATCTGTTGAATTTCAATATCAGACAATTCGTATTCGTAGCCTTCAACGACGTCTAGCTTTTCATCAGGCATGAATAATCGAAGCTTTTAGTGGATTCGTAGAATGGATTATCCGGGGGATTAGGGGCAATCGCCTCAAATCTCTCTGTACAAACACAAACACGATGGCTACGATGTTTTAAAAAAAAAAGCGTTGGCGTAAATACGAGAGACGAACACCACGGTACAAGCGAGCTGACAACGACTGATGAGGTGCCGAGTGCCCCCCAAAGCCCCCAGCGAACGGGGCGGAGCCCGGGCGAGCTCGGTGAAACTGGGCGTTGCGGCATTGCCTGCGGCGATGACGTATGTATGTGCGCGATTTGGTCAGCACCCAACTAGGAGAAGAGGTGGAGCCATAAAAGGGATGATGACCGAGGAACAGGCATTTTATGGGCTGTACTCAAGGTCACAATCCCATTATCCAAAGCTAATGTCCTTGGCTTGCTTTAAAGGCGGTATCTTTGAAAACTACTTAGGACGGCTTAACCCCATTCTAGGATGTGCCATACATCCGAGCCGAACTTGACATTGTCTCGAATCCCATTTGGCCGTAAATTGGTCGAAGGTTCGACTACCATACAAGGCTTGTGAGAGCCGTACAGTGCTACATCCTGTCAGAAGTAATCCAAGAGGAAGTCTTGGTCGCTCATGTAGCTTAGAAGGGCAGGTACAGACATAGAAATAAAAGTATTAGAAATAAATGAAGTAGGTCTGTGTATCTATACAGTAAATGGGAAGGTTTGGGTCTTTGATGTTAACTCCGTTTTTTGGATGCGCCCCGCACAGTAACATCATTTGGGATCGTTATGGCGGTTGAAAGCGTATGTGGCGTATACAGTGACTTGCGGTGGCTCTCCGATGTACAGATCAGGGCTTCTATCCTCCCAGAGATTTTGGTAACAATTAATCGACCTCGAAGGGATGAAAGGCTTGGTTGGCCTAGGTGGATATCGACCCGGGATTCGAACCTGTGACCATAAGTAAAAGATAGTGCGCCTTTTGCCTTTACACCACCTTAGCTTCTTAAAATTGAACATTGCATAATAAATGTACTTGAAACTGTGGAAATATGTACTTGAATATAGTAGGCTGCAAAATAAATTAAATTAATATATTTACAGAAATGGGGGAAAGCGAAAAAATTGAATAAAAAGTATTTCAATATTATTCATTATATAATAATGAATATGTTTATTATGTGATATATTGTATTATTATTTTATAACACCATTTTCTATGAAAAATATAATTCTAGAAACGAGTATTTTTATAGCCTCAACCAACTATTTCCCGTAAAACATGGGGATTGGTCAGTCTGGGCTGGTTTCGACCAGGAGAACCGATCCCAGAATAATTCTTGTAGTACCGGCAATAGGGAAAGCCTGTAGGGGAAGCATTCTCTGGTGTCCCCACCTTGATGTACAACTTTTACTGTCTTTTTTGCATCGCGAAAGTCAGTATGAGCTTCTGGAAGTTGCTGACAGTCTGAGTTGACAGCTAGAGGCAGTTCATGGAAGCAAAAAGGGAGGGAATCATTGAATTGGTATTGCCCTTGTAAATAATTCCATTTGAAGACTTCAAAAACCATGGCACACTGCCAAAGAATTCGGTTCTTCTCGAGAAACCTTTCAATGACGAATTCTCGAGAGTCCTATTTAGGGGAACCTCTATTCCCGAACGACGCTAGGGCGCCTCCTTTCTTGTCACAGGTATTAAGCTGGGTTGGTTCCGTCTTCCAGCCGATGGGTCTTTTTAAGCCGAAGGTACGGCTTTCGAAAAATTGACGGTTTGTGAAGTTGACGGCTGCTTATTTACTGCAATCTTTCTGGTTTTTACTCGGAAAACGGCTGCTCTTTTTAAAAGGTCAACTTATCATCGGTGACAACCTATCACTAGCACTCACGAACTGTGATCAATCACTTTGGGTCCCCTACCCCACCCTCTGTCCCGTCGAAAGATTCATATCGTTGACACTCAGAAAAATATTTATCATCGAAGAGTACCATTTGAAATACCAAATTTTCAAAAAACTAATTTTTTTTTATTTTTTCATTTTTTTTGGAAAAATGATTAGATCAACGGGAAGCTATTCTGTGAAGTTTCTCATTCAATAGTATCTCCTTTTACTCTCTCCGATGGTTCCATGGCTGAAATTTATCCAAGTTACTCCTCGAACGAAATAGGAGCGCACTTTGTTTACTGTAATCATGTTTTGATATGATTACGGTATGCGACTTACAGTATGACGAGGCGTCGGTTGGACGGCGGATACAAGTATAATATTTGGCTAATGTGGTTTACGGTAACCCAAGCCAACCATTTCTGTAACTTTGCCTCTCACCTGCTTGGGAACCACTCCAATGAAGAGAGGGTCGATTCTATGGAGCCCCTCTAGCCGAAAATCGCAAGGATATTCGGTTGCCGTCAGAAGCCCTCTTCCGAACCGGGTTCGAGCAACTCATTTACGGTAGTGGCCTTACCTTACCACGAGTTACCGTGAGCAACAGCTGTAGCTTTGAGCCCAAAGCAGAGGAAATCCGGGCGCTGCTCAAAGCTAAAATTTCATGTAATTGCTCTGAAACGAATGTTGATTGGTGAGGCTGAGTCGTTGATTCTCACTTCGAATGCATCCAAACGGCTCAAGAAATAGAAACATTACGAAGGAATGGCGCAATCTGAAGAAATCGATCTCAATTAGTAATACAACCTTTTTTGGAGTGCTCTGAATAATATGCATTCTTCAGAATCAGTGTTTTATCTCAAGCGATGAGCTTGGATCTAATCAGGAAGGCTGGGAAAGCTGGTTGGACCGAACGAAGAAGTCATCCAATGCATTGGGCCAGTGTTTGCCCTCCCAGCCTTGCCTGGTACCAGCTAGTTGATCGATCATCGCAAGATTGGGAGGTTTGATTGTTCCGGTGGGAAACGATCCGGGAGTAGTATTTCTATTAACGACATTTGAGGCTACAAAACCTCCCCAAACTTACCATGGTATAAAGTGAAAAGGACCAGTTTTTCCTAGTGATCATTTGAGGTAGAGCCGAGTGGCATCGTTAGCACTTTCCCATACCAATGCCCTCATAAAAGCCAAGAAGGGTAGGAGGAAGAAAATCATAGGAATCATTTTGGGTCACCCCGTCATTCTTCATCTTAACAGGGATGGAAATGCCTGGCATGGCACACTAGATTTATGGCTTGGTGATTTATGGGAGGCGATGAACCCTGCTGTTTGGGGATTAAAGGGAATAAGTGGGTCGTTTGCTTCCAGAATATCCCATAATTATTCGTTCACATGCATTGACTATAGTTAGTTCACTAACTGGTAAGGGCAAATACCTTTTCATTGGCGAGAAATCCTCTTTCGGGGCGGTGCTACCTGTTTCACTTACATTTAAAATCGCAATGTCAAATGAGTGCATGTGTGGCCTATACGATAACGTTTGGGAGCCAGCCGATATATATGGCAATTCCTTCTTTTTCCGACAAGTCTAGTATCAATTTACCGGCTCCGGAGCTATGGAATGTTCAGTCGCTCCCTCACCTGTCCCCACATCCTTCTACATATGTACGGCATCCCCTTCTTCCTAGAACCTTGAATTCCATCGAATATTCGGTGATACTGTGGCCTACTCAGTAATTACTATCGCATAGCTTCGTCGGTAGTAGAGGATACCTCCGGACTCTTTCCAGTTCATGCATGCCGCACAATACTACTGGTTAAAAATGTATTCGAATGCCGCTACCATTTTTGTGAAGGACCAGTGCATGGTGCACACTAAATCGAGTTCCAGGAGTTTTATTTTATTGTTATCCCTTTGAATCTCGCCTAACAAGTTCGGCTCAATTGCCCGGAAAATGTTGCCCTTGTACAAATTGTCCTATTGCTTTTGCTGGACAATGAGCCAGGGCTATTTTTAGCCTCAGACAAAGGCTGTCCAGCTGAAAAACGAGAAAATCGCGGGATGGGGAGGTTGCAACAACTAGAACATCTATTTCATATTTTTTAGGCTTAGTCCTAGTTCAATGACATCGAAGGTCAACTAATTGAATAGCTTTTGTTTACATTGTTCTAAATCTGCTCTGCTATCGTTTAATTATGGCTATAATTAACATATAGTTTAAATAATATAATTATGATGATACATATGATATATCACGTGAAAAATCTGGCTGGAGCATGATATCAGACTGAAGCCGAGGCCTCCGTACCGCAACCGCACGCGTGATCCCTACATAAGGGGTCCCATGACATAGCGTTGAATCACTTGATCCGAAAAATAGTAGGGAATTATTAGAATAAAAAAGTTTGCGGGAAGAAAAACATTCTATCATACCTTTACTTTTGAGCAGGTCAGGGGTGATGGGGAGAAACTGGGATGGGAGAGTCTAAAGGAACCAGAACCTACTCGTAGGTATGGTATTGTGAGTAATCATGGTTCAGTGGAATAACAAGCCAAGGATCGTTTCGGTGGCTCTCACTTAGGGAGCTTAATAGGGAGCTTAGGTTATTCTAAGCTCTGCAAATCATTCCGAAAATAGCATACGCAATTAAGGGTCATGAAGGATCTGAACGGGACCTGACGCGTGGCGCACTCTGAATTCAGGAATCTTCTTGGGTTGAACTTTCTTCCAGGAATTACTTCGAAATTGCTAGAAGTATCATAGGTCAATACCTACTGCTTACCCTATCGAATGCGATTGGATGTGTGGCTGATGTTACCGCTAGATCGAGCAACGTAATTGGAGCTACAAAAGTAAAGTTCATCCCGAAAATATGCATGAATTATTCCCATTCCTGGCAGTGGGCAAGTTTCTTAAGGCCAGCTGCTCACAAGCTGAAACTAAAAGTCGCAATCATCACAAAGCTTCGCCCGGAAACGTGCTCCCAATTATCACGCTTCTTGCCTGAAATGACGAAAAATTGCGTAGCTCTGTCCAGAAGACGTCAACAATGGAGGAGAGCGCTCTGCTGTTCACCCCACCCACCCACCCACACACACACTGATGGCAGAGGGAAAAGCACAATTCTG